AGTGTCAGGACGAGGGGTCAGAGGGCAAGTGCTAGGCGTCCTGCAGGAGGGAGCCAGCGCTGGGCCAGAGCTGAGTGCTGGGGAGGGTGGGAGCAGGCGTTGGAGAGCCTGGAATACCAACCAACAAATTTGGGTTTTATTCTCCAGGCAATAGGGAGCCCTGGGCGGTTCTGGAGCGATGGGATCAGGTGTGTTTTTAGAGAATTATTCTGGTAGCTGCAGTGGGGGCAGGAGGGTGGGGCGGAGGCTGCAGGTGGGAGGCCAGTGAGGAGGGTGCCGTGCTGTCTGTGGTCCAGCAGGGAGAGAGGAGGGCAGGTGCCGGAGCCGGGTCCCTGAAGTTGGGTGTCAGTGCTGATCTCAGGGGGAGCTGGGCCCCGGGCTGAGCCTGTGCCTCTTGCCTCCACAGACACCACCCAGCTTGTCCCTGAGGACAGAGAGGACGACCTCGTCCCGCCCCTCGAGCTCTGCATCAGGACCAAGTGAGTCAGGCCCACCACTGGCTGCGGAGCCTCACCGAGGCCAGGAGTGGGTGGCTGAGTGGTTGGGCCTGCGGAAAGGAGGGCACCCCGGCTCAGCGGGGTGTGGTGAGGGGCAGCCCCGCAGACCGGAAAGACAGCCCTGCGGCTTGTTCATATGAAGTCCTCTGTCTCTGTGACCGTGGCCCAGTGGAAAGGTGTGACTGGGGGTGATGAGTCTTCAGACAGCTTCTGAGACGTCCCTGCGACGGGGCTCGGGCGAGGGGGTGCCCCTGAGGCCCTCCTCGCTCAAGGCAGCAACAGGGATGTGGTGAGTGTTGTTAGGTCCAAAGCGGGGAGGGCAGGTAAGGTTGCCTGGGCGGTGGGGTCGGGGATCTTCGGCAGGACAGGACGGCGGTCGGGACTGGCCCCCTAGCCAGTCTTGGGGCAGCAGCACCCTCTGCAGTGGGCAGGAGGAGCCTTGGGCATTCTGCTGGGGCTAGTGGGCCAGCAAGCAGGGGCACCGTTAGCCTCAGAGGCAGGGCGGGGGGCCTCGGCTCCTCTAAGCCAGCCCCTCGGTACTCAAGGGTCAGCAGAGGCCATTGCTCAAACTCGGGGAGTGGGGCTCGCTCACTCCTGAGTTCTCAAGCAGGCGCCTCTGGCAGCACGCAGGGGGTGGGCTTGGGGCTAGCGGAGCTCCTGTATGGAGCCTCTGGGGAGTGAGCTGAGGCTCTGGGTGCAGTAGAGGCACAGGTGGGCCGGGGAGGGAGGAGACCTGGGTTCCAGGGCCTTCTCTGGGGCGGTACAACTCACAGGCGTGTTGAGTGTGGGCTCTGGAGCCAGGCTGCCTGCTGCGGGTTCTGGCCTTGCCCCCCCCTGGCTGTGAGCCATGGGACTTCACCTCTGAGCCTCGCGCTGCCAGCTGTGAAATGGGGATAATGGCAGAGCCTGGCGCACAGGGTTCCTCAGGGTGAGCTCTGTAAGGGCTCCCGTTACTATTGCCTCCGTCGCCACCGCGAGTCTGTGTGACCTCGGGCGGGACCTCGTTTCCCTGCTTGTGAAGTGACCAGGGTTGGGGGAGGGTCTGGATTTGGGGCTGTGGCTCTGAGATCCAGGGGCTCGCCCGGAGCCTAGGGCACTGGCGCTAGTGGGCAAGCAGGCCCTTGAATGGAGCTGCAGAGAAAGAAGATTCCATGTATCCAGGGAGGGGACATGGGAGATGTCACCCATCTGCTGCCTGCCCACCCACCCACCCACCTGCCGGGCCAGGGGCGGAGCATTCCTGTGGGCTCACGTGCCAGCCTGTCTTCCATCGGGAGGGCTACCGGCCTGTGGAGGCCGCCTTTCTGTTGTGTTGAAAGGGCCGCTGATGCAGAGTGATGAGAAGGCAAGAGCCGGGAAGGAGGCGACAGTGGCCTTGGCTCCCTCTGCGGGGCAGGGTGGGAGGCCACAGGCCATTTTTCCTGCAGGAGGGCTTGCCAGGCTGGGCTCTGGGCCACACCCTGGGCACCGGCTCCGCCCACCCGCCCCCGGGGCCCTTGCTGACAGTCCATGCGTCTCTGCGCCCTCCCAGGGCAGCCCACCACCCGGGCCTCTCCAATGCCCATCGGAGCACCCTCTTTCCCCAGAGAACTGCTGCCCACCCGCCCAGCACCTCCGGGGCCTGGGCTGGACGTCCTGGGCGCAGCCCTCGTGGCCAAGTGCTCGTAAACGACCTGGGCTCTGCTGTGTCAGGGTCCCAGTGCGGAGACACGTGCGTGAATGTGGGCCTGGCAGCTACCCCTTCTCCCAGGCTCTCCCCGGTCCCCCGCCCTCCATCGCCACGAGCGAAACAGTGGGGTGATGGCATGTGCGATGCTGTGGGAGGCGGCATCCTCAGGGAGCGAGCCCTGGGCCTGGGCACTGGCCCACGGTACCCGCCCCTGTCCCTGCTCATGGTTGCCGGAGGGGCTGGGCAAGGCTGAGCCCTGGCCTCCCCTCCAGCAGCGCTGCCCAGGCCTCGTCACAGACAGGAACTCCGGCACCCGGTTAGGGACAAGGCTGGGGACTGGCTGGCGCCGACCCCGGTGGCCGATGCTCCAGTGCACCGGGATCGCTGTGGCTGGCCCACGGGGAAGATTCGCTCTGGAGGGTGGTCCTCAGGTGTTAGCGTGGCCCCCGCAGGGTGTGGTCACCCACGGGCCACGGGACTCACTACCCCAGCTCTGGCTGAGGACTGTGGAGCCCGAGAATTTTCATGTTGAGCAGTTCCCAGTGCTGCTGGCGCCGCTGCCCCTGGCCACACTTTGAGGCCCACACTTCCAGCGCCTGGAAAGGACAGTGCCCGTCCCTGGCTGCCTGGTGAGGTCTGATACCAGGCGAGCTGCTGACCCTTCTGCTTCTGACCGTCCCACCTGCTGCAGCGCCCAGGGCCAGGGGACTGTCTCCCGGTCCCCCTCCCAGCCCTCTCCTCCAGGTGGGAGGGCTCCACCCTCTGCCAGCAGTTCTGAGACCAGCTGCGCCAGCACTTGCCGCGCCTCCTGTTCCCCCACTCCCCCGCGCGCCCGTGGGGTCCACCAGGGCGGTTAACTCGGAGAAACCTTTTCCAGCTTGTTCCCGGAAAGTGGAGTGGGCGGAGCGGACCTGGTTCCCTCTGTCCTCTGTCCCCATCAGATAACAAACACTAATGGGAAACAGCCCGGCCTCCGAATCCTGCCCTGGGGCTTTGCGTTTTGTTTTCAGCCCAGATTCTCAAGCAGCTCCAAGGGAGGAGCTTGGGAAAGTGGCCTTTCAGGTCAGTGAGGACGCTGGACCAGGGCTGCCTCTGAGGGCTCAGTCCTGCTCCCTAGGAAGCCGCTGCCTCGGTGGGAAGGGGTAGGCGCACTGCCAAAGCCGGGCTCAGGCTATTTCTAAGGCTGTCCGACCCCAAGCACCGGCCAGGTGAGTCGGTGCTCGCAGCATGAGCCTGAGGGCAGGCGGTTCCCCTCCCCGCCCTTCCGCCCTGGGCTGGGCTCCAGGGAAGGAACCGCTGGATGCGACTTGGTTCCTGCTCTCAGGATTCACGGTCAAGTGGAAGTCAAGTTCGGAATCCACTGTGTTCCGGTCCAGGGAGAGATGCACTGGCTGCCCTCAAGCCCAGGACCTCTGACACGGCCCTGCCCCGGCTCGGAGCATATCACACACCTGGCCACCCGTGGTCCTGCTTGGATCCACAGAAGGCCCTTGCTCACCACCAGGCAGGCCCTCCCTTTTACAGACGGGCTCTCCAGGGTCTGGTCTGTGCCAGGCCAACTGCTACTCACAGGCAGCAAGGGGCCTGGAGCTGAGGCTCGAGCTGTCCCAGCCCAGAGGAAGGTCACTGAGCAGGCAGAGTGACTTCCCGCCACCTGGCTTTGTTGCCCTGACAACACTGCACAAGCTCAGACTTTGGGCTTTGCCTTTGGAGAAGAGCATCCTAAGTTGGACGGTCCCCAGGTCCTGTGCCATCTCTACTGTCTGGCGTGACGCACGCCTCGGCCTCAGAGAGTCTCCTGTTACCTTCGCTCGCTCGGTCAGGAACGGGGAGCCTGTCCCCCCTCCCTCCTCCCGCTTCTCTAACCGTCTCAGCAGAAACAGGCTCGTTTATGGTCACTTCCCAGCAAGGCACACAGTGACCGCTCAACCTTCCAGCCTGGCCGGAGGGGAGAAGACGGCACAGCTGTCACCGGTCCAGAGAAAAGAGGAAAGAGCTCATAGCCGGGGCCTGGGGCCGGGCCACAGATGTTTCTGTTTGAGGTTCAGACAAGCAATTGAAAAGTAATTCCAGCTGGAATGTTGCCTTCCAGGGCCTGGCACCCAGCGCCCTGCTCCCCGCTGCCCCCCACCCACCCGAGGGCCACCCCCCACTGCAGCCCTCATCCCCCTGCCCTGGTTTCCCGGCACCTGGTTGGTCCCCTCTCCCGTCTCACCTGTCCTCACGCGCTGCTGGCTCTTCCTGTCCTTGCTAAGCACTCAGCAGAGACTCCCCATAGGAGCGGTTTTGAAAGTGTGTGTTCTGTGTCCGGTCCTTTCAGGCTTTAAGATGTCTCTGCTTTGATTTCCGATTATAAATGGCAGGCTGCTTCTCTCGGGTTGTTAGGACTCTCCCTCCGATGGCCGCGATGGGGTGGATTCGTTACCTCTGTGAAAACCCCCAAACTAAGTGTAAACCCCATAGCCTGGCCATCGGACACGGTGACTGTTGGTGTGATGTGACATCTAGTGGCAGACAAGCCTGACTCACCCCTGCCCCGAAACCAAGTGCCTTCTCGCAGGGGGTTGGGGGTGGGGGGTTTGGTGGTCCTGAGATGTTTGCAGACTGGGAGCTCAGAGGAAGTCTCATCTGCCTGTTCAGAGTGGGGAGGACAGGCTGGGAGGGTTGGAGAGGAATGGGGAGGGCCTTGGGGGTCAGGCTGAAGGTGGATCTTAGAGGGACACCGGAAGTCTGGTCCATTTAAGACTCTTCCCCTCACTCTTGCTCTGGGGTGGGCAGTCTTTTCCCCTTTGCAAATCGGCCCCTGGAGCCCAGCTGTGGGCAGGCGTCCTCCCTGCCTGCCTCCCTCTGCCGCCTTCCTGGGGTCTGGAGTCAGGATGTGTCTGCCCTGAGAATCCGAAAGCTCGGAGAGTACCTGACGGAGGCTGCTGCTTACCTACAAATCTTAACAGAACAATAAAAGCTTTTTTATGACGGCTTCAAACTGCACAGATGAACAGAGGAAGAAATGGGAAATCTCAAGTGGCTCGGTAGAATCAATCCAGCCCTGCGCTGTGTGACCACAGATTGCTAAAGTGCTATTACCCCAGCAGCACCGTGGCCGGCCTCGTCCCTGGAACCTGTGGTCAGCGCCGCACGCACCCAGCCTGTCCCACCTCCAGTCTTCCCCGCTGACTGCGCTGTGTGGGCTGCTCGGGGGCATCTCAGGCTCCAGCATCAGCGAGTGCAGGCGGTGGGCACTGACCACCTAGGGGCAGCCCCCCTCCCCGCCACGGCAGGCTGTCTGCAGGCCCAGTCCCAGCGCCTCTTCTTGCAGCCCTGACGAAGTGCTGGTGCTGGTGCTGGTGCTGGTGGATTCCGCTGAAGTGGCTCAAGCCCTAGACCCTGGAAGAGCCTCCTCCGATGGGCCTCGGTGCTGACACAGCAGCTCAGGACAGAGTCTAAAGCACCCGGACACCATGGAGCACTTCATTCTTCCACGTCCAGTGGATGGTGATGCCCAGCTTTTGGATTCATGTGGTGTCTGGTGATGGAGGGGGCAGGGCCTGGGGCGAGCACAGCAGGTGTGCATCTCGCTACGCGTTAGGTTTGCGATGTGCCTTACTGAGGTAGTTCTCCCAGCAATCACTGCTGAGAAGACCCTTCTAGATGTTTGCAAATTGTTTGCACATCCAGACCTGCTTCTGAAGGGCCAGGAGCAAATGGCCCAGACAGTGACATGGTATCGCTCAGCCTGCCGTGCCAAAACCATGCAGCCTCATTTTGGGTGAGATTTCTTACCAAGTGCCACCAGAGAACACAGAGCTGGTTTTGGAAGGACCAGTTCCCCAAAACAGGAGAGCATTCACGACTGAACAGCTTACCCATCATCCACCCATCTCAGCCTTCTGTGCTGAGTGCTTTCGTAAGGAGGGGCAGCTCAGCGCTCATACGTGGACCAGATGAAAGTTTTTTGGATGCTGATTGGCATGCCCGCCTAGGGCAGGGCCGCCTCGTGTCTAGACCGTGCTGAACATTGCACCCCGCATTCCCGTGGTTGTGGAAGGTCTAGCCTCGCTGTGCCCCGGGTGGAGCGAGGGGAATGCAATATTAATTGTTCCAAACGGGCTCTGTGCAAACATCTCCCGCACTAACCCTTCCCACAGCAGCAAGAAGCAGACATTCCGCTAAGATGTTTTTTCCAAATGACAAGAAATCTTTTTGTTCGTTAGAAGGGGAATGGGATAGTGTGAAGTAGGCAAACTATTCAGCAGGGAACAGTCTTAACGGATACCAAGGAGTTGCTTGGAGTGAGAGGACAGGGAGTTGGAAGAGGTCGGGGGCAGGGGTGTGGTGCCTGCCGTGAGGAAGGACGGAGCCAAGCGGAGGAAGGGGAGAGAAAGGACTTTCGTGGGGGTCCAGGTTGTCCACGACGGTGAAGAGGTGGGTTTGTGATGAAACCCCTGGTGCTCTGAGCTTCTGTTGGGAGAAGCATCCATCCTGTGTTGGGCGAGGCATCCCCGCTCCTCTCTGCCCTCCAGCCGGCAGATGCGCAGTTAACGTGAGAAAGCTGCCCTCTCCTCTTCCTCTGAGGTGTTCCCATTTGACGTTTGTCCTGGAGAAAAACTTCGAGCTTTGAAATGTCTGCTTCCTCCCTCCTCAGGCCCCGAGCGTGAAAGCATTTCTCAGCCCCAGCCTTAGCCTTGCACTCTGTCTAGCAATGCTTGGGGGCGGGGGAGGGGAGTAGCATCTTCTTCTGCTCTATTTCATCTTAGGAGAACGTGTATGTATCAGATACCCAGTGCCAGACCCATCTCCCACAAATGTGATTCCTGAGTTGTTTAGAAATATACTGCCACATATTGAATCACATGTTGGGAAATGTCATGGTCTCTCAGTTCAATTCCAAAACTTTGATTTTAGAATTGAACTATCCAATATAATAAAGAGGTACTATGCGGCCCCCATGTGGACACAAGTTGGCCGGCAGGAGAGGGCAGTTGGGGGCGACCAGGCTGGCAGGGGAGGGCAGTTAGGGGCGACCAAGTTGGCAAGGGAAGGCAGTTAGGGGTGACCAGGGCAGTTAAGGGCAATTGGGCTGCCAGGGGAGCAGTTAGGCATCAATCAGGCTGGAGTGGTTAGGGGGTGATCAAGCTGGCAGGCAAAAGCAGTTAGGGGCAATCAGAGCCAGCAGTCCTAGATTGTGAGGGGGTTTCCAGATTGGAAAGGGCGCAGGCTGGGCTGAGGGACATACATACCCCCATGCACAAATTTCATGTACGGGGCCTCTAGTTATTAAATGGTGGGTAAGCCTGAACTACAGTTTAATTATGCTTAGTGCTCCTGAGGGTGTCACACACTATTTAATAATGCTTATAAATGAATGCATATCTGTTATTGAATGGCCCACAGCCTTCACGAGCTCCCTGTGGCTCTTAGAGCAAAGGCCAGCATCGTTGCAAGGCCTTCGGGTCCTACACGGCACTGCCCCGCCGTTCCCCACCCTCTGCTGCACTTCTCCCCACCCCTTGCTGGGCCCCAGTAACCGGACCTCCTCTTGCATCTGGAATGAGCCCAAGTTTTTCTGAATGCAGGTCTTCCCATGTGCCTTTAAAGTGCCACCGTCAGGCACCCTAGAAAGTGTCTGCATTCAGATGTGTGTGGATCACTCACACCAGCCGAGGGCCCGGCCAGGCGCCTAGGAGCTCTCAGTGAATATGGTGGCAGGAAGGAAGGAAGGAAGGAAGGAAGGAAGGACGGACGGACTTGTCCATCGCCCTCGGGGTCTTGGGTGCATTTGTGCTTTGTAAGGACCTGGGGGTAGGTTTGTGTGTGAGTGGGCAGGGTGGAACCTGACCCCTCCAACACTCCAAGACTGGAAGTTCAGGTGAGTGTGGGCCTGAGGGGCTCTGCGTGGGCCCTGCCACTGACGCTCTTGCTGTCCCTCTGCTCGTAGGTGGAAGGGGGCGTCTGTGAACTGGAATGGCTCAGACCCCATCCTGTGAGCCTTCGTATGGGAGAGTTCTGTCTCCACTCGTCACAGGGTGACAGCTGAGCCCCAGGCCTCAGGGACGAGTCTCGGAAGGGTGTCACCCCCACCTGGGCCAGCACTGCTGCAGAAGCATCCAGAAGCATCCAGAACGAAGGGTGCCCTGGATGGACGAGGGCCCACGGTGCTGAGGCTCCCTCCCAGCCGAGCTGTGACTGCCAAGGACAGGAAGGAGGCGCTGCTGGGGCCTCGGCTGCCCTTCCCTGCACCCCTTCCTGGCTCCCTGCTGGGCCACCCCCTCGCCCAGCCTCTGATAGGGTCCTCCCGGGACCCGGGACACTGGTTATTTCTGGTGGTTGGCTTTCTATAAAACAGGAGTGAAACCACGCAAGAGCCAAGACTCATTTGTTCCTGTTGCCGAGAAGGAAGAGGCAGGTCTGCGTGGTTCGTGGCTGGGGTGGGCGCAGTCCCGGCTGAGGGCCCTGGTGACCTGCGGGCTAAGATGGCTCTGGCTGGGGCCTCTGTAGGCACCGATGTCCTCTGGTGTTGAGGTGTTCCTGCTGGACTCCTGGGTTGGCCTGACGACTTCTGCTCAGAGCCAGCAGGTGATGTAAGCTGTGCTGACCAGGAGCAGTTTGGTTCTCCGGGAGCCCTCTCAGGGCAGGCCTGGGTGCCGGTGTGTGTGGAGGGGAAGGTGGGGGTCCCAGGAGCCCTCCCAGGCAGGCCTGGGTGCCTGCCAGGCCCTGAGAGGATAGTCGGCAGGACCTGGCTAAGTGGATTTTGGGGAAAGAACCTTCTCTGGAGGGGCCGCTTGGCCACGGAGGGCAATAGGATGGAGATGAGCAGAGGGCCGGGGTGTGGCGCCCTGTGTCTGCAGTGGGCACGTGCAGAAACTGACTGAACATGGTGGTGGTGGGGGGCAGTCTGTGGATTCCCCACATTGCAGAGCCAGGATGGAGTGGGTGGGCATGGGAAAACTGTGCAGGTGAGGCCTCCTCATTCCACTAGTGCATATCCTCCAGTTGCAGAAAGGGCATGAGGTGTAGAAACGCAGTGGAGGCTGGTGAGGAAGACCGGGGAGAGTGTGGTGTCAGAAACGGAGGGCGGAACATTTGCATTGGCTCCCAGCACCCGGACTGAGGGCCTGGGGGTAGGTTTGTGTGTGAGTGGGCAGGGTGGAGCCACCTCCAGTGGCCCGGTGAAGAGCCCTGTGCCCTCGCGGGCGGTGCAGGAGCCGTGGCCGCCGTGGGCCTTCGGGGACGGCAGGGAGGAGCCGGAGGGAAGTGACGGCTGCGCCGAGGCCAGTTTCTGCTATGTAAACTCCGGGCCATTCTCAGCAGGCGCCCAGCAGGACCGCTTCCTATATGTCCCGGCAATGTTTATGCGCTTGTTTTCCTTGGCCAGGCGGCCCGCGGAGGAAGGTGGTTTTTCTTGCAGCGGCTTTGTTTATCAGCCTGGAAGGAAAACTGTCTTTTCAATGAAACGCACTTAACCTTCTGACCAGGGTCCCCGTGTCAGGGCTGGGGAAATCAAAATATTCCTGGCCTTTTATTGCTTGAGAAGATCGCTTCCAACAAATCACAAAAGCACTTTCTGGAAGCCGAGACGCAGGTACACATGCAGCTCGACGCCCATTGCCCACGTTTTCTGGATGGAAGATGAGCGAAGCCTAGCGCCTCCTCTCCTGGACCCAGGAGCCAGAGGAGCCCACGTTCCGGGCCAAGCCTGCAGGCGAAAACACAGGCCTAGGCGCCTGGCTCGTGGGCCTCCTCCGTCTGGAGGCCTGGTGTCCTAGGGTGAGCTTCCGTGGTCCCTGGCCCCCATTATATGAAAATCTTCGTGTACATGTTCATATGTGCCATTTTCTGGGAAGAGAATC